ACGTCGGCTCGCGGAGTCAACCCGCACCACTAGGATACCACCCCCGACTCTCCCGACCCCCTCGCTGATTCCTTCTTCTTCGCCAGTCATCGGCGTGCAGAGCGCAAAGAGAAGCAGCTGCGCAACATTGAGAAAGAGCGCGCGATGCACGAGAAAGTCCAACTCGAGCGTCTCCTCGACGGCCTCCAGGGCCCAGACTGGCTCAAAGTCATGGGCATCACCGGCGTAACGGACGGTGAACGCAAAGACTGGGAGCCCAAGCGCGACTATTTTGTCCGCGAAGTCGAGGCCCTCGTCGACAAATTCCGCGTGTGGAAAGAGGAAGAAAAACGACTGCGAGCGGAAAAGGAAGCCGCCCTTGCCGCAGCAGACGAAACTTCCGACGACGAGGATGATGAAGAAGAAGAAGAAGAAGGCAGCGACGACGCATCAGAAACCGTGGCTCTGCACTCTCGCCCCACGACACACTCTCAACGCTCCCAGCCCACCAAACTCCCCTCTCCCCCCAAACCCCGCCGACCTCCCCAGCCCCACGGCTTCCTACTCCCCGTCCTGCCCCCAGAGTCCTTGGCCCCATTTGTCTCATTTTACGCGAAACCGCATTTGCGGGCTGCGGCGCTCGGGAAGCATCGCCATGGCCGGAACGCGAGTGCGTTTGGGGTGCCGGTGCCCGAGTGGGAGGAGAGGGAGTTTGAGCTGCCTGAGGAGTTGCTGGGCGAGCATGTGTTGCGGGATAGTGCGAGGCGAAGGCGGAGGCGGAAGAGGGAGAGTGGGGTTGGTGGGGGGGCGGGGAAGGAGTGAGGGGGAGGGGTTCTGTTGTTTGTGGTTATACCCTCTTTTCTATGCTCTTCTTTCTTCTCTTCTTCTTCTTCTTCTTTCCTTGTGGCTCTTTTCCTTCCTCTCTGGTTTTTGCGGTCCTCCCTGGCTGCCCTTATACTCGGGATATCATTCATCTGATAGGCATAGGATTGTTGAATGGCAATGGCAATGCCAAAAATAGAATCATGCATTCCGGCGTAGCATATACCCGTTGCTTGCCTCCTCTTTTCTTCATTCTTCAAACATAGCGGCTTCTTCATGTGCTGTATTCTGTGCTGCATGTGAGATGGATGATTGCTTTTCACTCTTTTTTAAACATGGGTTTTTGGTGTTAGGTTAGGGCTGGGGATGGGGGGAATATACAAAGCTTTGATCGCGTATAGCGAAATTGAGATGTTGCCCTGGGAACTGTGTGAGCTTGGGTCCTGTCGTCGGTGGACTGGGGGCGGCAGACTTCGTGCAAAAAGGAGTGGCGTGCCGGTCCATGGGCTAGATTTCTTTGCTAGATATCAGCTAGATGCAAGGAGGTATACAAGTACACCGTCACGTCTAATGTAGGAGTCCATTTCTGCTCTTTGGCACAAAACTAGAGCAGCAACAAAAACAAAAAAACATACAACAGCGGGGATTCGCCAGTGGTCACCCACCTGACTACTAATCCGCCGGTACACTGCTTGAGTTCAGCTGAGCGAACGGGAAGCTCTATTTTCAGTGTCCTATGGTCGTATGTGGAAGTCAGGACCGTCTTTGTAGTATCTAATACCGCTCTAATCAAACGTTCCAATATTTAAATTTGCTTCCCTAGCCAAAGAAATAACTGTAAGAATAACTACTAAGCCTATAGATCTTTATTAGCAAGGATATTAATAGAGATTACTATATATAAGTTAAGTACTATAATAAGCATAGGATAAGAATAAGTGTTATAGACTAGCCTTGAAGGGGGATACAATAAGCGTTAAAAATAGTATTTACTATCTTAAAGGAGAGGTAAGCCCTCTACAACTTTTTATAGGTGTGTAGCGTGTTTGCTATTATAGACTAGCCTTAAGGGAGAATACAATAAGCGTTAATAATAGTATTTAGTATCTTAAAGGAGAGGTAAGCCCTCTACGCCTTTTTATAGGTGTGTAGTGTGTTTGCTTAGTAGTAGTATTAGACTTAGTCTATCTTGTGTTAGACCTAGGCTTAGGTATAAGCCTAAGCCCTTTATATACCTCTAACCTTCCCCTATAAACTATTATAAAATTATCTTTCTAGGGGCCTAGGGTTATATCTTTGTCCTCTATAATCTATATTAGGCTTTATTACTATATATTCTTAGGTTTTATTATTATATCTTTATATTCCTTCCTAATTTATAACAGGCCTATATATTAAGTAGTACACGTGTATAGTATCTATATACTTATTTTAGCACCCTACTATAAAAGTTCTAATATAGCTATCCCTCCTACTATAAATTTCCTAAACTTACTTTATTATATAATAGATTTTCCCTACTAATTAGCCCTCTCTTTACTCTTTCTCTATTAATCCTACCTATCTAGCCTTTATTATATCCTTATCTACTACTACTAGTACTAGTAGTAGGGATCTACTATAAGGTAGTTAGACCCTATACTAGGCCTACTAAGATAAGGTATATACTTCTAATCTTCTCCCTATATTTCCTATACTAACTTTTACTTAGTATATATCTCCCTAAATATAGTTACTTAGTAGCTTTATTATTTCTAGTAACTTAGATAATAAGGAATATAATAGTAGCTTTATAAAGCTACTTCCCTATAATTAGTATATTAACTAGCTTTATCTCTTTAGTAAGTATAACTATTAGGAAGGTAGTAGTAAGTTTCTCTTAATTTTTATTTTCTTTATAGCAAGTTCTAACTATATCTAGGGCGCTTATATAAGTCCTACTATTATAGCTATAAGACTTATACTTAATTAGAAGCTATCCTTACTAATAATCTTAATATTTACTAAGCCTTCTATAACTAGCTTTAGTTTTATTATAGTTACTAGAAGGATTACCTATATATTATAAAGAAGGGGACCCTTAGTACTTTTATAGGGAAACCTACTAAAGGCACCTATTACTAGTTTATACTATAGTTCTACTAGCTTTACTATTATTTTAAGGATCTTATATTAAGGGCTTGGTTTAACTAATAATACTATTACTCTACTTGCCCCTACTATCTACTTACGCGCCTATAATTAGTATTAGCTTAGTACTATTATTCTATCTACTACTAGTACTCTAGTATTTCTACTTTAGTCTACTATTACGCCTTTATATAATAGTTATAATAATAATAATATTATATAGCTTACTACTACTACTAGTATTACCTTCTAGTATATTAACTAGTATATAAATAAGAGCTAGGCCTAAACTAACCTTTATATTAATAAGCTTAAGAGTACTACTAAGCGCACTACCTATAGTATTAAGACTCTTATTATTAGTATTAATTTTCCCTTGTTCCCTTTATATCTATTCTAATATTTACTTTCTTTAGGCCTAGGGTGCTACGTATTAGTAAACTATTAAAGCACTACTATCCTACTACTACTACTACTACTACTACTACTTATACTTATTAACTAAGTCTTCCCCTACCTACACTACGTGTAAGTATTACTACTATTACTAAGAGATATAGAGGCGTCTAAATAATATAAATAATAGTTTAGGGGGGGCTAGGGAGAGGTTAGTTATAGATAGTAATAGTATAGACACTACTACCTAATTATTAGCTATATTATAAAACTTTAGTAGTAGGGCACTTACTTAGAGTATTATAAGGATAAATAAAAGATATCTCTAATACTATTCTACTTCTTAATTATAATAAAGGTCTAAGTTATTATTCTAGTTTTTTTCTACCCTTACTTCCTAGCTTTTATATATATTAGGCTATTATTATATATAATATCCCTATACTATTCCTTAAACCTATCTAGAGCCTTAGTATCCTATATAACCTCTAGTAGGTGCTATATTAGATTAATATACCCCTTCTATTTTACTAGCACTTAATACTTTCCTTTTCCTCTTATATTCTTTATATAAAGGATCTCTTCTACTTCCTATTTATCTAGTATTATATCTTTATTTTCTAGAGTAACTATTAGGCCTAGTTATAAGTTATAAAGCTTCTAGCTTAGTAGTAGGTTATTAGTAGCTCTCTCTAGTAGATCTATATATATAGTCTTATATAAGTTCCCTAGTAAGTCTAATACTACTATAAGTAGAGTAGGGACTTCTATTACTTTATACTTTACCTATAGCTAGTTAAACCTTTTACTTAGTTAGTTTATCTTTATATTACGTATTATAAACTAAACTATATTACCTTTTAGGAACTTTTTAGCTAGGCATTAGGACTAGTTTATTACTTCCTATTATTATTACTATTAGAATATAATAGTAGCTTACACTAGCTCTATACCCCTCTATAGGTATAATAAGAACGCTATAGCCTCTCTATAAGGATTCTTAGGCTTTACTTGTAACAATAAGGCAGAATTGCCTGCCCATTGTTCCATGCCAAGTCAGGCCCAATAAAGGCCCAACTTACTTATGTATATAGAGAACAGCTCGCCTATAGTTAGGATAGGCATGTTCTTCTTGTCCTTTTGTACAAGACCTATAGGTGTAGGAATCTTATCCTTTTCTATACAGACGCGCACTCCTATATACCTTTAAGTTATATAGGATACCTTTTAGATGCCCTACCTACCTAAGTTATTATATTATAAGAAGAATATTATCCTAGCTAGTAATAGTATTTAAGAATATTGCATTTGTTATTATTTTAAGCTACTAATTTAGTTCTAGTAGTTACCTAACCCTATAACTCTATAGTTAGAATAGCTATTAGAACTTCTAACAACCAAAGCCTATAGGCTTAGACTTCTAGACCTATAGGTAGTGCTAGATTACCTTTAGAAAAATCGCGTTAGATTGCGTTAAGGTAGAGACCTAGAGACTACTAAAAGCCTAGAGGAATTAGAGGCAAAGCTAATATCCTCCTATAACTAACCCCCCCTAAAAAGAAAAGATTTGTTATTCTTATTAACTACAAAATATTAGATAAAGGTAAAGGAAGGGCATCTAGTTTAGCCACTTTTAAAAGCCTATTTACTAATAGAAAGAAATTAGATAAGGAAGACTTAATTAACAACGCCCTCCTTAAAGGACCTGCTTCCTATCTATCTCTTAAGGTACCTTGTGCTCCTAGGAAATCTTAAAGCAACACCTCCCTTAAAGATAAATATATATTAACCCTATCTAAAAAGGAGAGGTTAAAGGAATAAGTTAAGCAACTTACTAATTAGTTATATAACACCTCCCTCTATAAGGAGATATAGGGTACTACCTAACCTAGCTAGTCTTTAGCTTCTATATTAAACCCTATAGTATATACTATAAAAGCTAAGAGATAATCTAAAAAGACGCTAAATATCTCTATACTTAGTAATAGTACTAATCCTACTTTTAGATAATAGCAAGCATCTATCTAGGATAGGCTAGAAATTAACGCTAATTACTACCCCTCTTCTAGAGCTTAGATGGCGTTAGTCTAGGGACACTGCTTAGGACTAGCAAGAGAATACTTAGAGCCACATTACCTATCTAATTCCCTAAGTCTTTAATTCTAAAAAGCTAAGGAAATAATTACCCTCCTTTAAACTTACTTTATTACTAGAAATAAGATAGCTAAGAGTTAGACTGCATTTAACTGCCTATATATAACTAATATAGAGATATTCCCTATTTTTAAGTTATAATTCTAGAGTCTTGCTATTAGAGGAGAAGTACCCTAATTAGAGTAGTATTACTACCTCTAGATAAAGATCACACCTTCCCTAAGGATGCTAAACCTTGCTTTCTAATAGAATTAGCACAATAATTTCAAGACTATAGTAGATTATCTTACTACTTTTAATATAGAACGCTGCCTATACCC